CATTAAGTATGATGTCAGTTGTGAAGTTTTTATAGATGCCCTCTATCAAATTTAGAAAGTCCCTTTTATTGCTAGTTTGTTGAGTGGTTTTAACATGAAAGAATATTGTATTTTGTCAAATGCTTTTACTACATGTATCTAAATGATTGTGTGATTTTTGCCTTTTATTCTATTAATATGATGCATTACATTAACTTATTTTCATATATTAAACTCACTTTGCATTCTGGGTTAAATCACACTTGGTCATCATGTATAACCCTTTTTATATATGGTTGGATTCGGTTTGATAAGATCTTGTTGAATACTTTCACATCTATATTCATAACTATAATAATTTATACTTTTATTTTTTTGTAATGTCTGTGGTTTTAGTATCAGAGAAATTCTGGCCTCAAGGTATGAGATGGGGAGTATTTCCTTCTCTTCTATTTTTTGGAAAAGTTTGTGAAGGATTGGTATTAATACTTCTATAAATGTTTGGTTGAATTCAATGGTAAAGCCTCCTGGGCTTTTTTCTTTGGAAAGTTTCTTGATTACTAATTTAATCTCCTTACTTCTTACAGGTCTTTTCAGATATTCTAACTGTTCTTGAGTTAGTTTAAGTAGTTTGTGTCTTTCTGTGAAATTGTTCATTTCATCTAGGTTATCTAATTTGTTGGCATAAAATTGTTTGTATATTCTCTTATCTGTATTTCTGTAGTGTCAATAATGATGTCTCCTCTTTCACTTCTGATTTTAGTATTGTGAGTCTTTTCTTTCTTGACTAATTTAGGAAAAGATTTTTCATTTTCTCTGATCTTTTCAAAGTCCTAAAACTTCCAGTTTTATTAATTTTTCCTATTGTTTTCTGTGCCTCGTTTATTTCCATTGTGATCTTTATTATTGCCTTCCTACTATTTGCTTTGTTTTGAAGTCATTTCTTCTTTTTCTAGTTTCTTAAGGTGGAACTTTAGGTATTGATTTGAAATCTTTCTTCTTTTTGAGCATAGATGCTTACAGCTATTAATTTCTCTCCCAGCATTTCTTTTGTTACATTTCATATATGTTTTTGGTATGTTGTGTTTTCATTTTCATTGTTTTAAAACTATCTTCTAAATTTCTTTGTGATTTCTTCTTTTACCTATTTGTTATTTAAAAGAGCAATGCTTAATTCCCATATAATTGTGAATTTCTCAAATTTCTTTCTATAGTTAATTTCTAATATAATTCCATGTGGTAGGAAAATGTATTTTTATTATTTTAATTATTTAAAAAGCACTGAGACTTTCTTTATGGCCTATCATATGATTCAGCCTGGAGAATATATTATGTGCACTTGGTACAAATGTGTATTCTTTTATTTTTGGTGGCATGTTCTATTGATTTCTGTTAAGTCCAGTGGTTGATCATTTTGTTTAACTCTTCTATGTCTTTATTGATCTTCTGTCTCATTTTCCTATTACTGAAAGTAAAATATTAAAATTTTCAACTATAATTTTTGAATTGTCTATTTACTCTTCCAGTTCTAATAGTGTTTCCTCTGTGTATTTTGGGTTTCAGTTATTATGTGCATATATGTTTATAATTTGTATATCTTCCTGAAGGATGGTTCTTTCAATGTTATAAAATGTCCATCTTTGTCTATAGTATTACTTTTTGTTAAAGTTTCTTTTGTCTAATTGTAGTATACCCACTTCAGCAGTCTTTTGCTTACTGTTTGTATGGTATATCTTTTTCATCACTTTACATTTAACTATTTACATATGTGAATATGAATTATGTCTTACAGGTAGCGTAAATTTGGATCATGGTCTTTTAAAATTTTTTTGGTTGGTTTTTTCTATTCTGCTAATCTATGCCTTTCAATTGGAGTATTTTATTGATTTACATTTGATGTAATTATTGAGAAAGTACAATTTACATCTGCCATTTTGTTATTTGTGTCTATATATATTGTATCTATTGGGTTCCTCTATTTCTTCATTACTGCTTTGTGTTAAATAGATATTTTCTAGTGTACCATTTTAATTCTCTTGTTTGTTTCACCATATATATATTTTAAAATATTTTCTTAGTAGTTACATTGGGGAATACAATTAGCATCTTAATTGAAACAATTTACCTGGATTCATGTCAACTTAACTTCAATAGTGTAAAATACTTTGCTTCAATATATCTTCATGCTCTACTCCTTCCTTTGAATTATGTCTTTATACATTATAAATTGAATGTTTATAATTTTACAATTATTATTGTATGTAGTTATCTTTTAATTAATATAAGAAAATAAAAGAATCACAAAAATATTTTATACTTTTATATATAGTTACCTTTACTGGTGCTCTTTATTTCTTTGTGTGGACTTGAGTTACTGCCTTCCTGATTCTGCCTCCGCAATTACAATTTGTTGTTCATTTCCTCATACTAGACTGTTTTTTCATCACCTAATACTATTTATCTTAAGTTCTGTTAGAATAGTGTTGGAAAATAAAGGGCAGCAGAAGAAATTGTGATAAAAGCTGGGAAGGGGAAGGTCATTCCTAGTACTTGGAAAGTTAAAATGTAGTTTCAGACTCTAATACCTATTATAGTTTATAGCTAGTCTTTACACAGTACCTGACACATAGTAAGTGCTTAATAAATATTTGTGAAATAGATTAATATAAGTACACATGATGATTAAGATTTAAGTGTTGAATTTTCTGGAGGCTCAGAAGTGAAAAGAATGCTGACAGAGGCACACAGAGCTAAGTAAACTAAGATTAAGATGTTCTTGAGGAGTTTTAGAAAAGTCTGCAGAATTTTCTGACTGAACAAGTTCTCTGAGGTACATTATCAAGAAAAGAGGGAATTTAATTCTTTACAGCAAATTGTTAGCTAGTTCTTTTAATGAGGCTTGAACTTCTTGAGAAAGTCAGACAAGGACACACAATTTACTCACTAATAATCTTACACTTACTAATTCAAAAGCATATACCAGATTTCATGCATCTCTGTAATTTTAAGCAAATAGGACAGGCCTTTCATTTGATGGCTCACTTGATGTAGCCTATGGCACACATAATGCCTTAAGATTCTGTTTATAGACACTAACAGTTGGAAATTGAGAGTTGCTCAAGCAGAATTCTATATAATCACCCATTTGGGGTTAATTTACTTTATTGTGGCTGCTACAGTGAGCTCAGCTGAACTTGGCATTTTCCATTCCAATCTGTTTTGTAAATGATTTTAGTTTCACAGCCCAGGCATTTTACTGCAAATCTTCTGAATCATGAGGCTTATACTAACCAGGGCAATTCATGAAAAGAATGTGGATTATCTAAGCCTGTAATACAATTTATTTTTTTATAATTTATTTTAGAGTTTGAAAATTTGAGAACCAGAAGCTAAAATATAATGAAGAGGTAAATTGTTTGGGTTTTGGGAGTCATCCATTTATTCAAGAAATATTTTTTGAACCTTTTGTCTTGCAAAGTACCATATAAAGTTTGGTGATATAATGGTGACAAGACAGACACATGTACAACCCTTAAGGAGTTGTAATGGTGTGCCAATTTGTAAATAATGGGGAATAAATACAAGCATTTATTATATATGATGCACACCAACAAATAAAAATATAAAAATATGGCATGATATTAACACTGAACATTCCCTGTCAAAATCTCAATCTAAATCTAAAATGCTTTTATCCCTACATGCTCATTAAATGCTTTTTCCCCTTCGTGAAATTTTTAAAATTCTAGTATTTTCTAAGAACTTTTATATGATTACCTAGGAAATGGATTCCCTATGTTTTTATTTATCTAAACATTCCCAGCACTATCTTACATTCTTCTACTCACTTCTTTCTTATACAGTGTTCTCTGAGCATCTGTTATGTTCTGTGCATGTGCTCATTGGAGGAGTACAAAGATGAAGGCTGCAGTGTGCTGTCTTTACCTTAGAAGAGTAGTGGAGACAGACAAAAGAGACACTATAATGATATTTAAAAGTGTTATTAAAAAAGTGTATTTTATTAAAGATAAACAATCACATGCACCGATTCAACAGGTAGCTATGACACAGCTTTCCATAAGCCTGATAAACTAAAAGTATTGGCAATAAGTTTAGAGAAGGAGAGAAATACATCTCTAATAATTGTGGCATTTTAAGGTAGAGTTTACAAAGTATAGGAGGCTGAGCCATATCGTTTGTCTATACTTTTGCAAACCACTAGAAGTGCTTGCTAGTGGGATTTCCTTCAAATCTCAAGGTTCAACTTAAATGTTACCTGCCCTGAATTAGATACCTCTTCACTACTCCTCACTGTGATTTATTGTCCTTATATTTATTAAGGCAATTTTCAATCTGTATCTGACTATTCCCCTCCTCTAGACTATGAGATTCCTCAATGGCAAAACTGGAGCTTTTACCTTTGGTGAGATACGTATGCAAAATATATGTGATAAACATTTGATGAATGAATAACTGAGTGAATACAGACATTCACTGACACAATAGAATTATCTACCAAACTGCAGTAACCTCAAATCAGTGTTATAAGCACTTTTTAAAATTCTACATTCTGCCTGATTCTTCTACTCTTCTAAAAACTGAGATCTTTGAAGTTGGAGATTTAACCCATATGTTAAAATGTTAAATCCATAAATCTCATCAAAAATATAACCTTCTAGACTCACAGTCTGAGAAAACCATAAAGAAATTTTTATTTGCTGTTTCTCATAAAAAGTAAAACTAATGTTACTTCTAGACAAAAATCAAGTCAATTATTCACAGAAGTTAAATTTAGGTTTAAACTTTAAAATCCTTAAGGCAGCTCATAAAATACTTTCTCTAAATATCACTCTAAAAAAATGCCTGGGTATGTAACCTAGGCATGTAACCATGGCTAGAGCCTTATTATTTCAGAACACACAATACTTTGCTGAACATGTTATATTGGTTCCGTACATCTTTAAATTTTGTTTTTAAGTAATCCTAAAGAAAACATAAGTAAATTATTTGAAAATACATACCTGTCGGCACCACAGTTTACGAAATATTTGCAGATAAGCCAACACCATAAGACACAGTGGTGCCATGTATGTCACCAAAAAGAAACAGATATGATACATCTTGGGGTAAATTTCACCTGAGAAGAAAATCAAAATAATAAAATTTTACATTGCAATTGATGGATTTTTTAAAAGATACAACTGTCAATGTTTTTCTTCAAAGAATACATTTACTTTCTATATGCTTTCATTAGCATGTTATATACACAACAAGGAAAATAATTTATACTCACTTTTATGCTGTATATGTGTACATATCTACCAAATGCAAAGTCTTAATCTCACCTAATGTACTTAGGAAGAAATAGCAATTTAGTCATTTCTTAATTTGTGATACCATAGTCTATCCAAAGTCAAGCATACATTTTTTTTCAAAGGTCTTTTATTTGGCTTCATTATGTCTGGCTAATTAATAAAATTAATTTGGCTTGTCTTATACTTGCATTTACAAAAAGGGACATGACTCAATCAAAACCTAATGACTAATGCTTTGGTTGAAATGGGAAGAGAATATAAACTCAATTAATTCCTCCTTATTAGTATATAAATTCCCTTAAAAGTGGGAGGCTAGTCCCAGTTGTACGTCTAAAATATATGTGGAAAATTTAGTTTGGAAAACTAAATATAATAAAGATTTTTGTTGTTGTTGATTTTCTGGAACATATATAAAATTCTTCTTTAAGCATGGTATGTCAATATGTACGTATGTATGTATGTAGGCATGTGCTTTCAATAAAAATAAGAATTTTAAGGCTTTTTAAAGTTTATTTTCAATCCAATATGGGTATTTACTTTTTTTATATTCACCTCACTTATTAGGCATAAGCACCTTTAGGACTGTAGTGATTTTTTTATTTATCATTAATTCTATGTACACAGATGATACATATCACAGAATAGTCATTTATTACTAAGTCAATTAATCAATTAATCAATGGCTTCGTGGCTTAATATTAATATTTTAGCTTTTCTATATATCTATTATTAACTTTTTAATGGCTTTTAACTAACGTTTTAAATGCTTCTGAAGATGTTTTCTTCGCACTACTATTAGAAGATATCACAGTTTGGCCCATCTACTTTTGCTGCAATGTAAAACAGGAAACAGTATATCCTACAGAGATTCCAGGATATTAAATCTAATAATTCAATATAATTCTAAATGAACAAACACAATGAAGTTTGAGTGTTTTTTTTCCTTTTACTTTATTTTGACTAAACTATTTTGACTTTGATATTGGCGAGGGGGTTGGTTCCATGTTATTATTGAGAGATAGTGTTATCATCTCCATGCATTTTATTCTTTCACTCCAGAAAGAGCACATAGTAGCATGAAGACTTGGTTATGTGATCAAATTTGTGATAAGGGTAATTTATAGTCAGGATTAGTCAATAATAAATATGATGATGGCCATAATAATGTATAACATTCATTCAGCAATCATGCATTTAGTTCTTACTGAATGTATTTTAAACTGAATGTTTTTAAGCTGAATGTATTTGAATACTGAATGTATTTTTTGTGTGTTTTATATCCTCCACAGTCTCCTTTCCATAGCCTCGTCTTCCAGAGTCAGTTGAGTATGAGTCTAATAATAGTCTTTGCATTCTTCCTTCTAAAACTCTGTCTTCTTTCTTGGGTTAGATATTTTTCTCTGTTGTAATCATCAGAAGGTACAGCAGAGTGCCTGTGGTGCTAGGAGGTCTAAGAGACCAATTTGAGGTGTCATTTTTAGCTGCTCTCTGGTCCAGGTGGCACTCACCTATCTCATCAGTCTCTAACCTCCTTTCAAGTTTATCGGGTAAAACAGGTCAGTTATATAAAAAGGGATAGAATTCAAGTATCCTGACTGGAGGAATAACAAACAGCCTTTCCCTTTGAAGTGCTACAGCCTGAGCAGCATTTGGTGGGCCAATTTCAAAGGAATCTGAAGGTGACCTCACCGCTTTCCAGACACCTGAGTGGCTTTGAACTTTTATTTGTTTTGAAGAAAGTGTCACATGAGCTTTCCACATAAAAAATAGACCTTTGAAGCTTACATACAGGTGAAGCCCTGATGTCTGCATCAGACTAAATTAAGTGAGTGGAGGAAGGAAGGTTAACTTTTTTTCTTTGATTGCAGCTATGGACACTATCATAGTTTGGAGTTTTGAACAAATGGGAGCTAAAGCTCATTATGTAGTTGGTATATTTATAAATAGTTGGAAAAATACATAATTGACTGGTAAATGCATATTATGATAATGAACACTGACACCGAGAAAAGTTGATTGAGCAAAATTAGACTTTCAGGTTAGGATAGATTGTTTGAATAAGGAGATTATAATAGATAATTGGGGAAATATGATAGTTTTAAATTCTTCATTTCATGCTTAGAGTCTAAGCTAATTGAAAACTCAGATAAGCTATTGAAATTTTAAACTGTGTGTGGTGAAAATATCTTTGAAGTCTCTCTGCATTTGATGAGCAATGTCTTCAATGTATTTTAAGACATTTGTATATAACCTAGAATGTAGCTACATGAAATTTGTTTTGCTTAAGCAGTACTTAATCAGAAAACAGCATTTTAAATACTGACAACCATTAAAAATCTGTGTTTCTACTCAATTGATGAATATACACAATCTAAATAAATTCCTACATATATATCAAACTAACAAATAAGGAAAAATGTAAGATTTTTAATCTTTGAAACCAGAGGTTAAGAGTAATGTCATATATTAGACAGGCAAAAGTTAACTTCCCTCAGACAAGTTAAAGACCATTATTCAGCCATCATGTTAACCTAAAAATTATAAGCATTTCTCCTTCATGCAACACTTATCAGGGATTGAATGGACAAGTAAATTAAATGCGATTTCTCAATATTTAATTTAGACTATCTTTTTAAAGTTTATAGGTCTATTAAATTTACCTGAATCTTTAATATGGTTAATTATCTTCTCTCTAATAATTATTTTAATAAATGTTCCAATTAACACACATATACACATATTTATATACTTTCAAAACCTCATAATAGGCTAGATGCCATGATTACTTTGACTATAAAGAAGGGCTCCATTATATTTTTTTCAGAGCACCAAAAACAATTTCTTCATAAGATTCAGGAAGAGAAATATTATCAATCTCCAATGTTTCAGCAGCCGTACATGCTCATTAAACATTGGATGCATGACTAGTGATGCAATTATATCTTTGATTGAGTATGTAAAAAGAGAGTTATTTTTCTTTCAATAGAATCTATCCTGTGGAACTATGCATTTTTAAACCAAGCAACTGAGAAAGTACAGTATATAATTCTGGAACAATTTTGGAAGTTTGAAATGATGTGACTGAAGCAAACAGTAAACACATACAAATGTATATTTTAATGATCATTAAAACAATTATTAACATGCTTTATACCTTCTTGAGTGTTGAGTGTGTCTGCCAGAATTTATGGTTAATGGTTCTCTATTTGAAGAAGCCATGGGCTTCATATCTGATTAATTTCAGAAATAAATTATTCATAAATGATTACCTATTTTTGGTAAAAATTTTAGTAAGACAGAGTTCTCAATTATTTTGCACATGTGTGAAACAGAATTTATAGAACTTTCCCAAAAGTTATTGGACAGATATTAATTAACTTACCATATTGCTTTTGTGACATTCTCTCCATTGTAATATTGGTTGTAAGACAATTATTATATCACTATCTACTTTTATGACTACATTATTGATTTAAATTAGGATAAAGACAAACACAGATTATGAATTACTCTCAAATAGAAGATATTTTACACAATTTTTTAAATTGTATTAAACAGTAATCAGCCTTTAAAGATGTTTGAATTTTAGAGAGCTGACACTGTAAAATATACTTTCCTATGGTGTTTTTAGGCTGTGACTCTCACACATATGCTGAGTTTTAATATTTTAAGTTGAACATAAACTTATAAACAGCCTACACATTCAGGGCTCATGCTATTTAAAAAATTTTTATAATAAACTAAATGCCAAATAAGCAAAATAAGAAACTATTTTGAATTACCTTATCTTCTTCTTAAAATATTAGTGATTAGCAATTTCATTCAATTTATGAAATATTATTATAATTTTATAGCCTTATTAAGTTTGATCAACTCAATTCAATATCATTTAATTTTAGCCTCTATAAGCATTTTAAGTGATTATGGGATATTACAAAATCACTTTCAAATAGTTTTCTTAAATGACTTCTGATGGCTAGGTTTAGAGTTTTAGGTTTTCAACAAAAATTGTTGTTTTTTTTTTAAAAAAAAAACAAAATGTCCATGCTAGAGTTAGATAGTAAAATACTAGAGGTAACCATGAGTTTCATGTAGTTATACTTGTAATTTGAAAACCATGTGCCTATTTACTTAACCATAATAACTGATTCTGATTGTTAACAGGGGTTAATGCTATTTGATTATTCAGGGAAACAAAAAAGAGAAAAGTTGACAAAAGAAGCCCATAAACATATAAAGAAAACAAATTGCTAAAATATTTTAGAGAAAATACTACTGACACATGTTGAATAATAGATGGGTAGTTTTTGTAATTTTTCTAATTACTATCTCTAAAAACTTAAAGAACCAACTTTTGAGTTGGAAACTTTAGATTTAAATGTATTTATTTATTTCACAATATTGAAAAAATAATTTAATCTCTATAGTGAGAAATTAATCATGAATTGAGTAAAGGAGTCTGGCCAAGAAGATTTTTAGGCTGTTTTCTAAATATAACTCATTGTAAAGAAACTGTATAAGAGACATGTCACAATTAGTCCTCAACCCATCTTCTTTCCCAACTCAATTCTTTAGACTGTCTCTCCCTATATTCCAGAAACTATAGGTTCTGACTCGCTTCCTTTCTCCTTTAAGATGTGAATTTTCTTGCTTTCTGGGCTACTTTTTTCCCCTCTTCTCTGTATGAAGAATTCTTACTTATTTTTAATGCTTTGCTGAAATGTTAGCAGCTCCTCTGTAAACTCTCTTTCAAATGACCAGAACTGAGTTTGTTTTCTTATTTGTGTTCCTAGCACTTTGTATACAAGTATATTAAAATACTCAGACTATGAGCCTTTGTTTATTGGCCTTTCAGCCTTATTATAAAGAATGTGCTCCCTCAGCCAGAGTCTACTTCTCTTCAGATTGGCATAATGCCTAGTATATCCTAAGTACTCAAGATGTTGTTTGAACATTAAATAAATGGAATGTAAGACACTTACGGAATATTCCTACCATTTTGGAATGTTCCATTTATTTTGTTTTTGTCTGTACTATTAATGGGGAAAAATTGGGAAAAACGGAGGATGATCCAGAGAATAATACAGCAAAGGAACTGCAGGGTTGGGAAGAGTAACTCGCAATAAAGGAGAGACAAGCAAATTGTGAAATTTTAGCTATTATAGGTCTCATGAAATAATCCCATAGTCTTAAATTGTATCTTGCTGTAGTGAAAGCATATGCCTAATTTTTCAATGACTGGCTGTTTTTTTCCTTTCAGTGTTCTAATGAAAAATTACCATACAGTCAAGGATAGATTCCAGTATTTGAGAATTCCATATTTATAAACAATCTCTGGGATTGTTTTATAAAAATTTATAAAGATTTATAAAAAAAATCTTTATTTATAAAGATTTATAAATCTCTGCTTTATAAATCTCTGCTTTATAAAGATTTATAAAATCTCTGCTTTTTTGATATATCTATCTGATAAGCATAAGTATATATCTTTCTAATAAACAAATGCTTCCCTAATGTTTAAATTCCCTAAATACAAGCCATTGTAATATACTTATCCAGAAGAGGTTAGACCGTTTTCCTCAGATTTCATGTGATATTTTAGAACTGAGGTATTCTATGTAAATGCAGGATTATTTTATTTCCTGTCATTCTTTGCTGTACCCAGATTTGTACCAGCACCAGCCATTGTTGAAAGTGTTCCAACAAAAACCTCAAAGGCTGACTTGGAGAGTTTTTAACAAAAGGAACATAAGGCCTCCAAACCTCTGCTTATTTAAATTTCGCTATCATGCATGACAGACGGGAAACCGGAAATGATTCACAATCAGTATAATTCTAAAATCAGAGAATAATTGTCTCAGTGATAAAACTCACCAATTAAATACGTTGTGAATAGAGAAAGAAAATGTGGATAATTTGACTCAGAGAACAGCATAGGTCTACATACTGATATTTAGTCATGTTCCCAGAACATGGCTTTATAATGAAAAAAATCCAGTTGTTTCTGAATGTCATGTTGAACCATCTTATAAAATGCTAATCACTCCAGAGTATATCCTTGGATTTGAATTACGTGGTGGGCTTGGTTTTAGAGAATTTGAGAAATACTAACATAGCCAGCTCTGAATTGTAGAACAAGCTCCTCCTTTCATTTTCTATCTGAAAGAGATAAAAACTAGAAAATAGTGCATATGGCATTTCCAAAGGACTCACATAGGTAGAGTTATTCTGTGAAATTGTTTTGGGTTTCAACTTGGTTTTCATGCTTTTGCAAAAGCATATTAATAGATACTAATGAAACATATAAAGCCAGATTCACAATGGCAATGCTAATCCGATTTTCAGTTTGCAGCTCATATAAATATAATATAAATGCCAGCTCATAGGTTGTAATGTACTTACCACCCCAGCGCTCATCACACACTGTAAAGAGAGTAGTTTTATTGGCTAAACCGGGTAGCATGCTGCTGCACTCCATGACAATGGCTTGAGGAATCATTATGATGCAAGAGACAATCCAGATGATGACAATGCTGTTCCGTGCCCGCTTGGCTGTGCTCTTAAACATCAAAGGGTGACAGATTGCGTACCATCGATCCAAGGCAATACAGCTCAATGTGAGGACAGACACAGACACTGAGACAGTCTATGAGAAAAAAGAGAACATATTAATAGAGAGGCACATGGATTCAAAAGAATCATTCAATATATTTACCATATGAGAAAGGTAGTCACAACAGATAAATTCAAAGTTGCAAAAAAAAGACCCATGCAAATATTTTTTATTTCAAAAAATTTTGTTAAAAAAAATGCTAAAAATATATTTTAAAAAATGAATATTTCCTGTTAAACATGAAAGAGATGCAATGAAAACTTTGCACTCTTGTTTATGCAAATGTTTAAATTTATAATATGGCATTCTTTGAACAATTGTTATCAGTATTCTGTCTTACAACTTTTCCATTGATAGGAGAAATCATATCCTCAAATGGAAGGAAAAAAAGGAAATCATATCCTCAAATAAAAGGAAAAAAAAAAACATATGTTTAGTCTGAACTGGAAAACTCTCATTTATAGAGAATAATATGGCATATATTTCTTTTAAATTATTGTATAAGATTTTTATCAAAATTTCCTTTAAGTAAATGTGATTGAATTTAGGGTATCTCACTTCATATTTTCAAGAAATAAGAGCTATTTGTACATTAGTGCATTTCCAACAGGTTGCACCCAAGGAAAGGTATGAGTCATTTTAAAAAAGAATCTTGTATGTGGATCTCCTTGCTATGGTTTGTTCACTGGAATAGTCAACTTGCCTTCAAAAACCAGATAGATTTACCCAGCTCAAATTTCTGTATAATTAACAACACCACAAATGATGTTTTATCATTTTATATATTTGATAATAATAAATATTTTGGTTAATAATGGTAAGTCTTAATCTAAGATTATGGATGTAGTCCAGGCATCTTCCTCTATTTTTCTGTCCTGGTTGTGTTGATTTTATAACATGTGGTAAGGGCATGTATCTCTGTCTTTTACATCAGAACCTTCCTTGTTGATGCATTGACTGTAGGTACAAATGAGTAAAAGGGATCTAAGAACCAGTGTAGCACAGGAGAAAGGTCTCTGTGCTAAGTGTCAGGGTGATCTATCTATTCTTATACTTCCACCAGCTAGCTACACAATGTTGGCTCACAGTTTACAACTTTGGGCCTAAGGGGTGTGTGAGTATGTGTGTTTCTGCTAAATTAAGGAAATCAACAGGACAGGATTCTTACCAACTCGGAATCTTTTGATTCTCTCTGGGAGAGGTAGCAGAGTATACTTGGAATCAATTCTACAGCCAGGATTCCTGGGCATGAATCCCATCTCACCTACTGAGTGATCTTGGGGAGGTTACTTAACCTCTCTATTCCTCAGTTTTCTCATCTGTAAATTGTGGACGATTAACAGTACCCAACCATGGAATTGTAGGGAGAGTTAGTTGAGATGTAAAATGTCTAGCCCAGGGCTGGCATATAAATGCTATGTGTTTGTTATTACTTATTATGGTTATAACAATAACAATGATGGTTATACTTCTTTATAGGAGATGGGGTCTCACTCTGATGCTAGGCTGGAGTACAGTGGCACAATCACAGCTTACTGAATCCTCAAGCTCCTGTGCTCAAAAGACTCAAGAAATCCTCCCACCTCAGCTTCCTGAGTAGCTGGGACGACAGGTACATACTAGCTGATTTTTTAAATTCTTTGTAGAGAAGAGCTCTTTGCTATGTTGCCCAGGCTTGTCTCAAGCTCCTGGCCTCAAGTGATCCACCCGCCTTGGCATCCTAAATTGTTGGGATTACAGGCGTGAGTCACTGTGCATAGATGATGATTATACTGTTAGTTTTCTCTTCCATTCTTGAGTTTAGAGTTCTAGATTTTAATTGACATAGACCACTTTTCAGGGAAGAATATTCAAAGAAATTACAAGTAAAAGCCTAAACTTTGCTAAATTCTTGTGGACTAATTTCATTCTAAGTGTAATCCTGTAAAGGGCTGAACTCTATCAGAGTGGGTGTAGGTTGGTTGGTGACTCTTGAAAATTTCCTTGGCGCAACCTTAAAGTGCCTCCAACTCTCTTTCTTAAACCAATCTCACCCCCATTCCTTCTCTGCAAATAACATAAATACCTAGGGACCCTCAATCCCATTTCTAACCTGGGAAAAGAACTATGGCAGTCTAGATTTGCACAGTAGAATTTTCATAGCTGTGTTGGGCCAGGGCTATATTTATCCTCTCTAGAAATTAGAGTATAAAATGTTCATCAAGGCTTATGATTTATTATTTATGAATTCTAATCAACCTGGATGAATGGGATCAGAGAAAACGTGATTCAAACGTGCATGTCATTCCTGGTATTTCCCAGTACTATTAGATAATGGCAATCAATTAATGTAAGTTCACTTGAAAGAGTGACATTCAGTGCCAACTGTGACGTAGTATTCAATACCCTCTCTGTTACATGGCAAAGTGAGAAAATACACTGGTGTGATTAATCTAACAGTAGAATGAACTGTTCCATTGAATGCGCCCTTGACAATTAGTGATTTAATATTCTCTGTTTCAACTACTTTTGCTTGTGCATAAGACACAGTATATAATTAACATGCTATTTATGAGATTTTCTTTTGGGGGACATAAGATTGCATCTTATCCAAAGTGATTATAAATGAGAGTTTTGTTACTGCTTTTCACTTCTAAGAGTGCACTTCTGTGTGCATTTTTCATTTAGATTCTGATATTAGCTCATATCAATCAGATAGTAAGTCATTTGAGAAATTAATCTAGTGTGAATTATGAATGCTGTAAATAAAATGGAATGAGATGATGAGAACTTTCTTCTGCCTTCAGGTACTTGGCCTTTTGCCTATACTATGGTCATCCTAAGCACAAGTTAATATTTGGGAATTTCCTTTGGTAGAGAAGAAGCCTATTTTATACTATCACATAGATATGCCAAAAATATTTTAAATTTTCATGACAAATAGAAGTAGACATTTTGCCAAATCACAGATTTGAATGATAGGTACTAACAGATTAAAAGGTGGTAAGGTATGACCGAAAGAGTGAGAGAGCTTATCTTATCACCCAGCACCCACCCCTTACCACCCATATCTCACTTGGCTTTTGTTCTTTTCTTGGCATTTCCTTTGCAGGGATTCTTCTGCCATTTTTGTTTTGTTTTGTTTTGTTTTTAAATCACTCTTAAAAGGAGCCACTGCTCCTGTCATTGTTAAAAGAGAAGTGGAACATATGGATAATTATTCAGCAAATAGCCTATTAAATGTTACTGGTCTTATAGAATTATTAAAGATACAACAGGTTCATTTTAATTATTCAGCTAAGTTTTATTACATTTGTGAGATTTTAAAGATTTTTGAGCATTTGCCAAAGTGTTACAGTCTATCATCCACAAATCAAAAGGTTGCATTGTATTTAGATGAAAAAGACTATATACATCATAGCAAATAAGTAAATGCCCAAAGTATCTTAAATGCAACCAAATAACCTTAAAATATGGTTGGGCATTGCATAATATGTTTAAAATATTCGGAAAGCATAAATACCATATCAAGAATAAAAGTTGTTAGTTTCAGAATATCATAACTAGGGGGCAAAACTACTCAAATTTAAATGACAGGCTTATTATTGCCTATTGGCATTTGGGAAAATTTTATGAAAAAGAGGCAATAAATATTGAGAATTTGGAGTTACTAGTTTTACCAGTGCATCAATCTCTGTGCATTGACACCTTTCTATCAAGAAGCAATGTTGAATGAAGTAATGAATAGATCTAGGCTTTTCCATCTTGTGGTTATTCAGTTGTTTGCTCCTTGCCTGATGGAGACTAAGATCAACCGAGGAATTGATTAGACTTGACATTGTTTGCGGAGAAGCAGATAGAATCTGTCTGGAGAGGAGAATGTTCCTTGAACTATAGACTTGTTAATATGTTGTCTGTGTGAAAGAGTGTTGTCAGTGACTTTAAGACACAGGCCCTGCATCACTCACTGGCTACATGCTGCTTCCAGTCTGTCCCTGAGTGCTCATAGGAGACTCTAGAATACCTGCTGTGCAGAAAGCCATCACTGTGCATTGGAACCTGACTGCACCTGCCACAAGGTGCTGCACTACTCTCCCATCACCCCACTCACCACTTGGAATCATCTGGTTCATAAAGACAGCATGGAATGTTCTTAGCCAGTTAAAGATTCTTGACAACTAGAACCATCCTGAAACTTAAGAGAATCCTCAAAATATTCTCCTGAGTAATTATTAAAGCCAAAAGAAATAGAAAGCTTGCTGGAATTACCACAAAGATGGTGAAACATTGAATTCTCTGTTATTTATTTCTTTCCCAGTGCCTCTATGCAAACACCACGAGAGCCATCCATTTCTTACTGATTTTTGTACTATGAGGATATTTTCCTCCATTGTTCCATGTGCCATTTCTTTCAAAAACTTTTGCTACAGTTAGTTTTTGTAATCCATTCATGGTTTTCAGCAGGCTGACCCCTAACCCCATCTTAAAATTAAACATAATGTGTACGTCGAGCTTATGACTTCTAGAGTATTTCCTACTTACTACTTCATAAGGTCTGACCTTAAAAAAATGATCATCTCTCTTTATAAAAGTAATTGAAGAGTGAACTAAAGATCCCTTTTTAACTTTGCAGTTCCCAAAGCCTTATCAATAGTTCTATAATTTCTAGCAATGGGCTATTTGTGGCCTCCTATATCTTTTTATTGTCAGAAACCTATTTTCTGTTCCTCCAAATATGATCACCATCTCGGAGACCAGATGAAAGAAGGACTGGGGTTGAAGGAAGGCTATGGAAAGACAAGGAGAGAGTGGCTGCCATTTTATTCACTGTCCAATTCCCAAGAAAAGTTCATCTCTTTGGGTAGTGCAGCTGTGGCTATTATCTTGGGAATCTTTTTTCCTTAATATTTTAGAACTGTAAGAACAATCAGAAAATTATTCCTTGAAAGTACGAGAGTGGTCCAGAAAGTATCCAACCATGTAATATGAAAGTTATATTAACTTTATTAATATGTTATATATTATATAATATGTTAATATTAACATATTAACAATGGCTGGATAGTTCCTGGACAACCCTCATATATTGGTTCTTACTTACTTGTATGACAGTTAAATATGAAAGAACTGCTTTCACTATTGAGCAACCAGACATTTAATAATGATGATACTGATGCTGCTGCTATTTATTGAGGGCATTCTATGTTTTTATAAGATCATCGTCTTCCAGAGGGTAATTACTATGCCAAGTGATTTATATAAATTACCTAAGAAAACTGTCACAACAACCATATGAGAGAGACCTCATTAAAATTACTATCCTCTTTAAACAAGTGAATCACAAGGAGTTTATGTATTTAGGGTATAAATCAGTAAATGACAGAACAGAGATTCCAAACCTGGGAGTTTATTTGGAACCTACACTAAAACCTGTTCTCTGTACTGCTTTGATCAAGTAGCTCTTAATTCCTCAGTATGCAATGAAACTACTTCTAAAAACAGATACCCTTGATTATTCAGACTAAGAGAGGCTCACTCATTAATTGGTTTGAGTTTCTTCTTTAATATTGGGGAAATTAGAAAATCAAAGAAGTAAAATGTTTGTCCAGCATCTAATAAGGACTTGTTGATTTTGTCACTTTATTTTCATGGAGAACTTAACTTGTTTCCATAGAAAGTCTCAAGCATTATTTTCTTTAAGCTTGCCAACTCCATAGGTAATTACATTTATTTTTTAATTCACTAGTTAATTTACTATAGGGCCATGCTTATGATGGAAAACATTTTTATAGTAACTTCTGTGTTTGAACCAAATTGGTGTGTAAAATAATTACCTGTAAATAAGGAATCACTTTGCAGAGGGACTGTCCAAAAAACCAGGTCTCAGTGATATCCACGACCAAGGTGGCTGGAAGGCAGGTGATGGTCACAAGCACATCAGCTAGAGAAAGATTGACTATGAAGTAGTTGGTCACTGTCCTCATGTGGTGGTTCTTCCACACGGCCACACAAACTAATTTGGGGGGAAAAAAAGAAATAGTAACTAAACAAAGAAAAAAGGTACTATTGAGGAAGCACTGTCAAGCTAATTAATACTCCTATGAAGTCCATACATATATATAGAAAAGGAAAGATAATATATGGTTGTGCTGTATTTTCATTGAATCAGGCAACCTGTGTGACTGTGTGAATTTTTGAATCCATGCTTAAAATCAGCTCATTTACCTTGCAAGACATTTCCCATTGGATCAACAAGTTATGTTTATTTTTTACTTGATCTTGAATTGCAAGTCCCAGAAATTAAAGAATGATCCTTGATTCGTCTTTCTATTCCCTCCAAACACAGTATGTAGTGGAACCTCTGGAAATAGTTGCTGAACTGAGACGAATTAGGAGCTGGCAATTTTCAATGAACTGTAGTGTTTGCCTCATCCATGACCTTGACCCAAATCTGCTCCCAGACTCTGCATTTGGAACTTTTAACAAACATGAGCCGATAATTATCCAGCTCCTACTATTGCTAAATACTGAGCTAGATGGGTTCATAGACTTACGTTGTTTAATCTTGACAACAATCTTAAGGGAAGACGTCATTATGTTTTATACATGAGGTAACTGAGACACAGGAAATTCATGGAAATTGTCTAAGGACACATGGCTCACAAAGTAAAAAAACAACATTTACAACTGGGAGTTAGCTCCAAGAGGAAAGCTGGTCTTTCCACCACACGAGTTGCTTTCTTCAGTGAAAATGAGGGAGATAGAATAAAGTACCTATAAATTCTAGATATTCAATCCCCCTTTCTTTCTATTACCCCAATGGCTTCTAAACATCATCTCAAATCAAGCATTCCTTTCAGTACTTTCACAGCCATTCTTCATGATTGCCTTGCAGTATTTCCCCAGTTTAAAAGCTGTGATATCTCACTCACTCACTCACTCACTCTTTACTGAAAGAACACCCAGCTCCTCCATTCTCTGCCCTCTCCTTGCCTGATGTATACAAAGGTTACATAATCGATGGCTCTGGAATTGTATAGAAGTATGTACTGCCACCCACATCTGTTGGCGGGTTTGCTTTATTGAAAGTAACAGCATTTGTTTGGGATATCATTAAACTGATAGAGCTGTCACCTGTGCACTCAAAGAATGCAGTGATCAGTAACCTTATATAGGGAACAAATGAAAGTACATTTTATTTAATTTAAGTCACACGATGAGGATTTCTTTTTGACAACTATGTACCATTTGTTAACAGTTTCATGTTAAAATCACTTGGAAAATGATTTTACTATTTCTGAAGCTGAAATTGGTTGTCAGCTATCAACAGATATCAATTTAACAAAAGACCTAGATTTCTGAGGATTTAATTTTGAAAACTTCACCTCTTCTAACTCCAGCACATTAATATCCCCAAAACTCAGGTGAGCCTTAATTAGAGTAAACGATGGTCTTTATTATATGAGAATGATGTTGTTGAATGATTTATTTCCCATAATCTCTTGAAACACACACACACACACACACACACACACACACACACACACACACACACCTCCTAACAGTTGATGGATACATCATCACAGTTTGTTGTGAGAAAATCAGCAAAAATATTATATTTCTAGTACTTGGCCAACAAATGCCCAAATGATGTGATCTTGGATCTAGAGGGAAAAAAACCTCATAGAACTTTTAAAAAATGCAATTAGCGTTAGTCTGACTTTCAACTCTCCTTATTTTGAATGTTGGGAATGGCAATGGTGGGAAGAGTGTTAATGCATTGTAGCTAACCAATAGTAAAGCAAGTATATGTTCAAAAAACACTTCTTTAGTGCTTACTATGTGCCATGCCTTGTTCTGAGCACTTAAATTATTGATTAGTTCAATCATAATAACACTATGAATTGAGTACTATTAATATCCCTGTTTAACAGAGTAGAAACTAAGGAGAGGTTAAAGAACATACCTAAGAAAAAATAACAAGTACTGGAGCTTGAATTCAAGTCTACCACCATGCTATGCCATCCTTATATACTTTTGATTGAAGCAGAAAATGAAGGGGAAGCCACCAACCTCTATTTGGCAGAGCTTTAACACTGGATTATAGAATTTTTGAGTTGGATATGTCGCAATGTAACCTGCCATCTGATGCATGGATATCACCTCTGCAACATCCCTGATCCTTCCTCTTTGAACATTTATAATATTAATAGTAGGAAATACATGACCTGCTGGAGCCCTCAAATTCATTTTGTTGTGTTTTTAACTACTAGCAAGTTCTTATTCCTGTAAGGTTGAAGTTGCTTCCATTTCATTTCTGCTTGTAGCTTTTAATTCTTGCCTGGAATTTAAGAAATTAACTGTATCTATTTTCCTGCATTGTATCTATATTAGTTCTTCAGGCCTCTGTAACAAAGTGACACACTGAGTGTCTTAAAGCAATAGGAATTTATCTTTTCATTGTTCTGGGGTCTAGAAGTCTGGAATCAAGGTGTCATCAGAGTTACACTCCCTCTGAAACCAGCAAGGAAATCCTTTTTTTGGTCTCTTCCTAGCTTCTTGTGGTTTGCCAGTAATCTTCGGTGTTCTTTGGTTTACAGTTACATAATTCTAACCTCTGTCTTCGTCATCACAGGCATTCCACTATGTTTCTGCCTTCACGTGGCCATCATCTTATAAAGACACCATTTGTGTTAGAGTAGAGGCCTACCCTACTGCAGTATGACTTCATCTTAACAAATGACATCTGCAATAACCCATTTCCAAATAAGGTCAGATTTTGAGGTAATGGGGGTTAAGACTTCAATATATCTTTTTTGGGACACAGTTCAATCGTAACTGTACTCATTCCAATATTTAAAGACCGTAGCTATGCCCATCCCCTTAGCTTTTGATCCTCCAGGCTAAAGATCTTCAGAATCCTCACATGCAACTGTAGAATTTTGCATCCCTCATCATCCTTGTTTCTTTATTCTGAACACACTTCAGATTATCAGTAATGGCTCTAAATGAGCTATCTGTAACTCTACACACGTCTCCAGGTGCAATCTACCCAGAGGAGCAAAGAGCAGAATGACTGCCTTGGTTACTATCTCTCTATTAAAGACAGTTTGAGATCTTGTAAGCTTTCTTAACAGCCAAGTCACACTTTGGGGGGTCATAAGTATATCCAATTACTAGAAACTGGTCCCCTTGTGTAGATGTTAGATTAAACCTTTACCTTTGAATCCTAGAGAGAAAAAAAGAAAAGAAAAAAAGAAATCTATAAAGAGCACTATTGGGACAATGTGAGCAAGTTGAATTTGGACTTTATGTTAGATAATATTACTGTGCCATTTTAAAATATCTTAGTATGGTGTTCACATTATGTCCATTCGAATATTTAAATACTGGTTATGTCTTTTTCCTAAGGCTTTGATTCTTTGAGATAAACATCACCAAACTCTTTTGGAGCAGGCTTTTGCCTCTTGTCACCCTGGTCTCTTTACCATGACCACCTTCCAGAATACAGAGTACTTGTATATAAGTGAGCTGTCCAGAAGTGCACACACACCTCTTGATGCATATCTCCTAAAATCTGTGATAAACAAGTGTCCATTTGCTCATTTTCTCACCCATCCAAAGTCCTAAAAGCATAAAGTCAATGTCATCTTTTCCTGATAACACACCAAATTTATACAATTTAATATTATCTTTTCCTATAAACTCATCCTGGACTTTATATTTCCCAGAAGTGTAATATCCTTGCATTTTCTCCCCAATGGCCTATGCTTGAAATCCCCAAAATATCTCCTCCCTCTTTCACATTCTTTCTATTCATATTGCAAATACCCAATGTCACATTGTCAGTAAACATTAGCCAGAGTAGTGACCTCCTAATAGTTTCCTCCGGACTGTCCTTGTCTTTACTTCTACATATTTTATCTGTTAATGCCATTCGTTCTAGTTTTATTAATTATTTCATTTCAACAACTAGAGCTCTCTTTTCTCCTGGACTAAGTACAAAATCCTCAAATGGCCATTCTACCATTGGGTTCTAGTTGAACTTTCTCCCTCTATCTTGCAATGCTCCCTATAAAATACTTGGAGCACCAGGATAAATGTGCTATCTCGCTGTGTATTAAACATATCTTATGCTCAGGCCATTGCTATGCCATTTCTCCATCTGGAAATGCCCATACTCCATTTCACTCCCTCTTTAACTAACTTAATCCTGCCCCCAAACTATCCAAAACCAACCAAACAAAAAAGTTTCTGCTTCAAAAAATATCTCCTAATTAGCCTAATTCAATGTGGCTTCTTTCTTCTTTAAAACCGTATCTTTCTTCTTCAAAACGGTATCATGTGTACATTTCATGACCACGAACCACCTTATAAAATTATTGTGAATTACTAGAGATAGTTTGCATTTTTTCTTATCTCCTCACTTGCACAAAGGCTCTTTATTGTTACAAGCTGGCCTTTCTCTATCCTTTCCTTTGCTTAGTTTCTACAGTTTTTCTCCTAATAAAAATGCTGCCAAGAATATACTTTGCAATAACTATTTATGCAATTGATTTGCTCATAAACTTATAGCCTGTCACTGGTATTGGTATGGTACCTTCTCCCATGAGTGAATTGGTTAAAAGGGGAGAAAAACTCCACTGGCTGAATGAGGCATTTACTTCCTTTACTCCTTTTGAATAAAATCTGAGGGCTCCCTGAGAACATAGCTGCTTGTCAATATTCTCTTGGACATGAGTAGGCTGTGGCTCTCAATTCACAGTACGCTACTCTCGGATGACCTCTGGTAACTCCCATTTGAAATCAGTTCTGGAAATGACCATGACACACAAATATTACAGTCCCTTTGTAGTTAGTCTATATTTAGAAAACTGCCTCCATTAACCAGAAATGAGTGAGGAATAAATGAGCACATAAGGGTGACAGAAGACAGCAGAAGGCAAGAATACAGATTCTACCTCTAACACAGGCTTCACTGAAATAGATATTTCTGGAATGCAGAGGTGCCAA